TTAGGGGGGGGGGCGCTTGTAATTGAATCACGGCCATAAGCGCCGGCGCTTATATCATGTTAAAAAATGATTTTGTTATTTTTAGGTACCAAATCGAAGCCCGCAGTAAGGCGAACACAATTGTGTAACGTGCGCTGGAGGAAATGCATGAAAACCCGCCGAAACCCACCGCGATTCGATTCCCGACCGCACAAACCCCGTCCAGGAGCAGGGAATCTGCCAGCGCTGACGTGAATGTTGCCTTACGGCCCAATCAGGGTACCATGCGGTGGCAGGCAGCTGCATTTCACCCGAACCATCGAGATGTCAGATTATGTTATTTGTCTAGCCTGCAGTGGGGTGCTCAATAGTGAGTACAACCCCTTAGGGTTTCCTATATGTATCCTGCTGCTTGCTAGTGCAAACCCCTCCTTTCTTCAAAAAAAAAAAAAAAAAAAAAAAAAAAAAAAAAACCCGCCGTGCGCCCCGAGGCGCGCGGCGGTTTTCTCCCCCCGTCGCCCGCCGAAGCGCCCCCGGGGACCCGCGCGTCGCCCCCGTCGCCCGTGCGCGGCCCGTACTGCACGAGCGCGGCCCGTACAGGCTGCGCCAGGCCCGCGCGCGGCCTGTCCTGCACGCGCGCGGCCCGTACGGCCTGCGCCAGGCCCGCGCGCGGCCCGTACAACCCGCGCGCTGCTCGTACGGGCTGCGCCAGGCCCGCGCGCGGCCCGTACGGCCTGCGCCAGGCCCGCGCGCGGCCCGTACGGGCTGCGCCTGGCCCGCGCGCGCCTCGGGCCGCCTGCGCGCGGTTCGTACGGGCTGCGCCTGGCCCGCGGGCGCCCGGTCTCCTCTCCCACTGAGCTGCACGCCGTCCCTCGCGCTTCTGACGGCGCCCCACCCCTGCTGCTGCCCGTACTCCTGAATTAGGGTTTGGGGGTGGAGCGTATGGGGGTGCCGTCTCTGTCAGCCGTCCCCTGCTCCTCCTCCTCCTCCGTCTCCCACTGCTGCAGCTGCTGCTCAGGGGGGTGGGTGTGTGGGAGCCGAGGGTTTAGGGTTTAAGGGGGGTGCCATGGGAGTGGAGCTAGGGTTTCAGCAGGGGGTGTGTGTTGGGGGGTGTGGGACAGTTGGAGGAGGTTGGGTGGAGGCAGCCGCGCGGTTGCCCGCGCCCTCGTGCGCTCTACCCTACCTGCTCCGCGCTGTTGCTCTGCACGCGCGGTTGCCCGCGCCCTCGTGCGCTCTACCCTACCTGCTCCGCGCTGTTGCTCTGCACGCGCGGTTGCCCGCGCCCTCGTGCGCTCTACCCTACCTGCTCCGCGCTGTTGCTCTGCACGCGCGGTTGCCCGCGCCCTCGTGCGCTCTACCCTACCTGCTCCGCGCTGTTGCTCTGCACGCGCGGTTGCCTGCGCCCTCGTGCGCTCTCCCGCCCCGCCCCCCCCCCCCCCCCCCCCCCCCTGGGTCCCCTGGACAGGAGGGTGTGGGGGTGGCGGGTGTGGGGGTGCTCCGTGTGCGTCGCCCCTTCCTTCTCCTCCGTCTCCCACTGCTGCAGCTGCCGCTGCGGGGGTGGATGTGTGGGAGACGAGGGAGTGGCGCTAGGGGGGTGATGTGGGCGTGGAGCGAGTGGTGACCCTGGGGGTGTGTGTAGGGGGGAGTGAGACAGTTGGAGGAGGTTGCAGCCTGGTGCTCCTGGTGCCCGTGTGTCTGCAACTTCAGTCGTCGCCTCCTCTCTTCTCTCCCTCCACAGTTCCTCCTCCTCCTCACTGGCCTCCTGTGACTGCCACTAGCTTTGCTCATAAAATGTGAACTACTATTATGACTGCTTGTTGTGCTGATTACACCCCACTTTGGCTATGGGGGTGTGTCAGATTATGTTATTTGTCTAGCCTGCAGTGGGGTGCTCAATAGTGAGTACAACCCCTTAGGGTTTCCTATATGTATCCTGCTGCTTGCTAGTTCAACTCATCATTCCCATTCTCACTTCTCCAATTCTCCTTCGTATACCCCAAACCCTAGTCCTAGGGCACAACCTACTACCTCCTAGTGTGGGCCTAGGCTACTAAGCCTAGGCCCCACTCCTATTGTTTCTAACACGAGAAGGCGGTGGAATGACCTGCCAGCGCATCATGTTCGTGCCACGATACCCTCCTCTCCGGGTTCAGACAGGGGGTACCCGTCTCGCCCCGACGAGGACCCCGAGGCGCAAACCAGCAGGGGTCCCTTTGAATCGCTCATTTGTGCACCATTTCTCTCAGTTTCTTGTTCTGTTTCTTTGTCACTCCCGCCTGGCTGCGGAAGCCATGGCGGAATTCAGCGGCACCCACTTCTTGTTCAAGAAAAAACCTGCTCGAAGGCCCGCTTTTACAGTAGACGCTGACGGGTGATGCACCCGTATCCCGCCAGAACCTCCAGAGCCACCACAGCCTCCTGCGCCTCCTGCGCCTCCTGCACCTCCTGCTCCTCCTTCGCCTCCTCTTCCTCCTTCGCCTCCTGCGCCTCCTGTTCCTCCTTCGCCTCTGGGTCATGTGTCACCGCAACACGCTGCCAATCAGCCCGTGCTCACGCTGCTGCTTGGCAGCGTTGGCGTTTGACGAATTCCTGTCCGAACCGGAGACAAACAACGGGCCGGATGTGTACGTGCGAGTGGACCACGTGCCTGGAGGACGTTGGGGACAGCCCGAAGATTGCCCTTGGGACGAATCTGCAGTCGGCGCCGACGATGATGTTGCTGACGCTGAGGATGCGAGCGGCGCTGACGACGCCGAGGGTTACACGGATGCTTCCGCCGAGGGCGGCGCTGCGGGCGGCGCCGAGGGAGGCACCTTTGAGGATGTGTTTCCAGAAGGTGTTACGGGCGACGGTGACGATGACGGCGTTGAGTACTGGTCACGCGACGGGCGTTGAGAAACTGCCCATCCCAACATATCCTCCGACTAATCGCAAGCGACCCCACCCCTCTTCTGAGAACCGTGATGCCCGCCCCCCCTCTCCCAGGCACAAGCTCACCGAGCACAAGCGGCAAGGTTACACCGCCGCGGAGAAGTTGAAGTGGGCAAGTCGCCTCGATGGGTCGGTGTCGGTGCGCGCCTTGGCTCGCGAGAGCGGAATCCACCGCAAGTGCCTCGCCAACTGGAAGAAAGCGGCGGATTTCCTCAAGGAAGTCCACTCCGCCCGGAAGCGCATGCACGGCCGCGGGCGGTCGTCGTGGTACCGGCCGATGGAGTTGAAGGTGTACGAGAAGCTGCTCGAGTGGCGCCGCAAGGGTTCTGCCGTGTCAGTCGGCCGCCTGCAGGAGTGGTCGCGGGAGTTCATGAGGCTGCTGTACCCGGACAAGAAGTGGAAAGGAAGCCAGAGGTGGTCGGCGCGCTTTCGGCGTCGTTGGAATCTGAGCGTCCGCATGAAGACCCGGGTTGCCCAGAAAACCGCCGCGCGTAAGAAATACCCTGGTTTATTTGCCACGTGGGTTCTGAGCATGTGTACTAACACCCTCCGTCTGAGTCCGTCCTCTCTTTTCCCGCCGTGCAAGTGTCGCTGAGCTCTGCCGCATGTTCTGGCAGTTCGTGCGTGACAAGCGTCGCGAGCGCGGCATCGACACCGCGTAGATCATCAACGCGGATCAGACGCCGCTATGGCTGGAGATGCCCGCCACCACCACCGTCGAGGAAACGGGTGCTCGCTCGGTGCCTATCAGGAGCGCGGGGTATCAGAAGCAGCGAGTGACCGTGATGCTGGCGTGCACGGCGGACGGAAGGAAGCTCAAGCCGTGGGTGTTCTTCAAGCGCAAAACATTGCCGAAGGGCGATTTTCCTGCCGGTACGTATAGGCGTGCACTCCTGGTCATTTGCGTTCTGTTCTGAGTGCGTGTTCTAACCACAAGCTCGGCGTTTCGTGCAGATGTGGTGGTGGCTTGCCACGAGAACGGGTGGATGGACTCCGCGGGCGTCGTGCGCTGGCTTGAGGAGGGCGTCAAGCCTTTCTTGAAGCCTCGGTTCGGCAGACACGCCAAGAGCTCGATGCTGGTGCTGGACTCTTACCGCGGTCACCTCACCGAGGAGGTCAAGGAGAAGCTCCGCGAGATGAACTGCGTGCCGGCGGTCATCCCGTCGGGCTGTACGGCGGAGGTACAGCCACTTGATGTCTCCATCAACAAAAGTTTCAAGGCGTCGGTCCGCCAGCAGTACCAGAGGTGGTTCGAGTCATAGGGGCTAGCGCAGCTGACCGCGGCAGGTATGACACGTGTACGGATTTGTTCTACCCCCTCCCCCCCCCCCCCCGAATTGTTTTTATGCACTAACGGCTTCCTTGTTTTCCGCTTACTGCTGTCTCAGGGAACCTGAAGAAGCCTCCACCTGAGGTCGTCCTGCGGTGGATATCTCAGGCCTGGCGGGCAGTGCCGTCCGACCTCATCACGCGCGCCTTCCTCACCTGTGGCATCAGCAACGCGCTCGACGGCAGCGAGGACAACCTCGCCATGGCGCACAGGCGGACCCAGCTGACAGCGGAGGTGGATGTCGACGATGACATCATCGCTGATGGTTTTTTTGGCAACAACTGCCAGGAGCCCGAATCTGACGAGGAGGATGAATAGGAGGGGTATTGGCTGATGCATGGTAGTTAGAAGTACCCCGGCTAGACTAGGTGTAGGTTAGCAACAAGATGCTGTAGTTGCTATGAAAAAGAGGCAGTTCAGTGAAATCCATTGTAATGCCTCCCATGTAAGGTTAAGGGGATGCGCTTATAATAAGGACAGAAATCTCAGGGGGTGCGCTTATAATCGAGTTCCGGCCATAGGCGCCATGCTCCAGATAGAGGCGCCGGCGCCCTTAATCGGACGGCGCCTATATCCGGGGCGATACGGTATAATCCATATAAAAAGAAGGGATCAAAATGCGTCAGGCAACTATCCATTTCCATTGAAACGAGTGTTTCATAGCGGATATGCCTAATTCCCGTATGCCCTAATATCACCTATCTATATGATATTTCCTGAATAACTAGAACCTTTCCCTGTGCGACAACCACTCCACCCGTTATTGTTGCACCCGAATGAAGTCCGGCTGACCCGTGGCCGTGAGACACCGGTGCCACATGCGACCGTTGGGATCTACGGGCCGCGCGTGCCTGATAACTTCGGGGATCGGGATATACGCGTAGTGAGAGTTAACCAATCCCACGGTGATGCCGCTGTAGCCGGCAAACGCGCCGTGAACAGCGTTCTGCCCCAGCACGGCGCACATCACGCTGTCCGACGCGTTCGCGCGGCACGCTCGGATCATGTACGTCGGATCGATGTACTTGACGTCCGCTGGCCGTCTGATGGACTTGAAATGACGCCGGACCTGGATCAGCCATAAATAGGTCACGAGCGGGAAGCGAGGGGTAAGGAAGATGAAAGGGAGAGGCAAGTTCAGAAGGGAAGGACGCACCTTGTGAGGTCAATAAGTACTCAAGGTTGTGTGTTGGAGGAGAGTGAGAGAATGAGAATGAGAATGACAGTAAGGAATTGAGAATGTGAGTGATAATGCGAATTAGTAAGAATAAGAAAGAGTTAGAGAATTGAAACTGGGGACGGGAGTGAGTATGATATTGTAAGAGAAAGAGAAAGACCCCACCCCACCTGCTAAGCAACCTCCCCACCCCACCTGCTTCAAAAGGAAGACCCCAATGTCCGACAGGATTGGATTCCCGGACGCGTCTGTGCCGCCCTCCCCTTGCACGAGGTCCTGTAATCACACACAGTCACAAAAGTTAAATGCTTGTATCACTTTTGAGAAGACTCAGAATGAACAAGGTTGGAATCCACACACTCCGCAGTTGGGCTCTTTCTTTGCTGGAACTCTCATCTCATCATTGCCAAACACGTGGACAGTGATTTCTTTCCCCTCATCATCATCTCTCACCTTCCCTGCGCCCTTCCCCACGCAGATGATGGCGTGGCCCTGGCTGTCAAGACGACCTTTGAGGCGCTTCAACCATCAACCGTCACGTCAGCCGTGACCCCAACTGTCACCTCAACTGTCACCTCAACTGTCACCTCAACTGTCACCTCAACTGTCACCTCAACTGTCACCTCAACTGTCACCCCAACTGTCACCCCAACTGTCACCCCAACTGTCACCCCAACTGTCACCCCAACTGTCACCTCAACTGTCACCCCAACCGTCACCTCAGCAGTCACATCAGCCATCACCCCAACCGTCACCCCAACCATCACCTCGAAAGCCATCACCTATAAAACCCGCTCCCGTCCTGCACCCTCGGTCACGCAGATGATGGCATGGCCCTGGCGGTCCAGGCAGCTTTACAAGTCACCTCACCGCCAAAGTTCACCTCAACCGTCACCACAGAAAACAGAAAACCCCCACCTGGCGTACAACCTCGGTTTTTTGAGAAATCTCAAGAAACAGATTCATTTCACAAGTCACCTCACCATCAAAGTCCACCTCAATGGTCACCACAGAAAACAGAAAACCCCCACCTGCCCTGCACCCTCGGCGACACAGATGATGGCGTGGCCCTGGCGGTCCAGGAGATACTCCAGATGCTGCAACACCCCGTTGGGACCCTCCAGACAGAACGGCACCTGAAGGGAGAGTGGTGAGTCAGGGAGAAGGGTGGGGAGGAAGGAAAGGAGAGGAGTAGGGCGAGGAGGGGGGAGAGAAGGCAAGTGGATGCCACAGGGAGATGAGTGCCATGTCCACCTGCCCGCTGGCAAGCGACGAGTGCATGGCAACATGAAACCAACACATTGACCTTTCTACCTTCCCTCCCGTCCCACCCTGCATACCCCTCTCTGCATACCTCAGGGATGAGAGCTATGTCCACCTGCCCGCTGGCAAGCGACGAGTGCATGGCAACATGAAACCAACACATTGACCTTTCTACCTTCCCTCCCGTCCCACCCTGCATACCCCTCTCTGCATACCTCAGGGATGAGAGCTATGTCCACCTGCCCGCTGGCAAGCGACGAGTGCATGGCAACATGAAACCAACACATTGACCTTTCTACCTTCCCTCCCGTCCCACCCTGCATACCCCTCTCTGCATACCTCAGGGATGAGAGCTATGTCCACCTGCCCGCTGGCAAGCGACGAGTGCATGGCAATGAAACCACTCTGCCGCCCCATGAGCTTCACGATGCCAATGCCTCTGTATGCACTGGACGCCTGCAGCAGGAGTCACATAGGGGGTTGGGAGGGGAGGACAGGTGGAGGAGCGAGTAATGTGGATAATGGGGAGCTGAGCTTCGCATCTCTGTGCCGCCCCATGAGCTTCACGATGCCGATGCCCCTGTACGCGCTGGACGCCTGCAGCAGTCACACTGGGGGGGGGGGGGGGGAGATACGATGTGGTGATTGGGGAGCTGAGCTGACGTCACCCTGCCACCCCATCAGCCTCTTCACGATGCGGATGCCCCTGTATGCACGCCTGCAGTAACACGAAGGGGCGGAAGGGAAGGGAAGGGAAGGGAGGGAGGGAAGGGAGGCGATCTGATCTGAAGCTGGCTTGGCACCAGCTCTGTTGATTCTCCATCAGCTTCACGATGCCGATGCCCCTGTTTGCACTGGACGCCTGCAGCAGTCACACCGTGGGAAGGGGAGGACGGACGAAGGATCGATTGATGTGGCTATTGGGGAGCTGAGGTGACGTCACTCTGCCGCCGCCCCATGAGCTTAACGATGCCGATGCCCCTGTATGCATGCGTGCAGTTGAGCAGGTAGTGGGGAGAGATGGTCACAGGCAGCATGTAGTGCGAGCAACCCATGCCCATGACCGCGCCCATGCCCATGCCCATGACCGCGCCCATGCCCATGCCCATGACCGCGCCCATGCCCATGCCCATGACCGCGCCCATGCCCATGCCCATGACCGCGCCCATGCCCATGCCCATGACCGCGCCCATGCCCATGCCCATGACCGCGCCCATGCCCATGCCCATGACCGCGCCCATGCCCATGCCCATGACCGCGCCCATGCCCATGCCCATGACCGCGCCCATGCCCATGCCCATGACAGAGACCATGCCCATGCCCATGACCGCGCCCATGCCCATGCCCATGACCGCGCCCATGCCCATGCCCATGACAGAGACCATGCCCATGCCCATGACCGCGCCCATGCCCATGCCCATGACAGAGACCATGCCCATGCCCATGACCGCGCCCATGCCCATGCCCATGCCCATGCCCATGCCCATGCCCATGCCTGTGCCCATGCCCATGCCCATGCCTGTGCCCATGCCCATGCCCATGCCCATGCCCATGCCCATGCCCATGCCCATGCCCATGCCTGTGCCCATGCCCATGCCCATGCCTGTGCCCATGCCCATGCCCATGCCCATGCCCGTGCCCATGCCCATGCCCATGCCCGTGCCCATGCCCATGCTCATGCCTGTGCCCATGCCCATGCCCATGACCATGCCCATGCCCGTGCCCATGCCCATGCCCATGCCCATGCCCATGCCTATGCCCATGCCCATGCCCATGCCCATGCCCATGCCCGTGCCCATGCCCATGCCCATGCCCATGCCCATGCCCACGCCCGTGCCCATGCCCGTGCCCATGCCCGTGCCCATGCCCGTGTCCATGCCCATGCCCATGCCTGTGCCCATGCCCATGCCCATGCCCGTGCCCATGCCCATGCCCATGCCCATGCCCATGCCTATGCCCATGCCCATGCCCATGCCCATGCCCATGCCCGTGCCCATGCCCGTGCCCATGCCCATGCCCATGCCCATGCCCGTGCCCATGCCCATGCCCATGCCCATGCCCATGCCCACGCCCGTGCCTATGCCCGTGCCCATGCCCGTGCCCACGCCCGTGCCTATGCCCATTCTCCCTCGCACCTCCACATAGGCGGCGTGCAGCGCCCTCTGAGCCTCCTCCACAGCCGTGTCAAAGCCAAACGTCTGGTCCAGCAGCAGAATGTCGTTGTCAATGGTCTTGGGCACTCCCACCACCGCCACCTTCATTCCGCGCTTGTAGCACTGCAAAAGGTGGGCAGTGAGGGGTTTGGGGGGGGTTCGCAGGTGTCTTTTGAGTCAAGTCAACTCGCAGTCCCTTCGATTTGAACCCAACCCCCTCCTCCAGCAGCAGAATGTCGTTGTCAATGGTCTTGGGCACTCCCACCACCGCCACCTTCATGCCCCGCTTGTAGCACTGCACATGGTGGGTGGTGAGGGGTATGGGTTGGGGTTACCAGGTGTCTCTTGAGTTGATTCGCAAGTCACTTCAATCTGAAGCCAAAAGCCTGGTCGAACAGTAGTATGTAATTTTTGAGTCGACTCAAAAGTTAATTTGTTGTTAATGGTCTTGGGCGCGCCCATCACCGCCACCTTCATGTCTCGCATGCCCACAACATTATGTAGGGTAGGGGAGGGTAAGGGGTTGAGAAGGGTGGGATTGGTGGGGTGGGTGGGTGGTTTGATCCACGCACCTGCACAGGTTGCTGCTCTCACCTCCTCTCTCCTTCTCCCTTCTCCCTTCTCCCTTCTCCCTTCTCCTACCTTCTCATATTGACTCGTTTCTCGTTTCCCACGCTCACCTCCTTGTGAATGGCCAGAGCTCCAGCGTGGGTGCCATTTCCACCAATCACAAACAGCATGTTGATCCCCTCCTTCTGCCATCATGGAAAGAGCAGGAGGAGGGCGGAGGGCGAAGCAGGGAGAGAGGAAATGGGGGTGGGAGAGGGAAAAGACAAATACTGGTCGAACATGCCTTTTCACATGGCTCAACCCCATATCTTCCTTCCTCCCCCATCTCTCCCTATACCTACCAATCTCTACCCATCTCTCCCACATCTCTTCCCCCCATCTACCCACTTCAATGGAGTCGACAATACCAAGGCTGTTGGAGCTCCCTCCAGACACGCCCACTCATTTGTTTAACTCTATATCTCTCTCTCTCTCCCATCCCTCCCCCATCCCTCCCCATCCCTCTCGTATCTCCCCCCATCTCCCCCACCTGAATGGAGTCGACAATATCAAGGCTGTTGGAGCCCCCTCGAGACACGCCCAGGAACGACCCGCCCATGAGGTGAATGTTGTCCACCACTGCGCGGTTCAGCTGGTGGTGATGGGAGGAGTGGCAGAGGAGCAGGGGGGAAGGATGAGGCGGACTGTCAGTGAAGGAGGGAACGACCCTATCATAAGGTGAATCTTGTCCACCATGGCTCGGTTCAGCTGGTGGTGGGTATGAGGGGCAGAGGCAGATGGGGAGGGAGTATGCATTGGGGGGGGGGGGGGGGGTATGGGCTGAGAAGGAACGACCGCCTATGAGGTGAATCCCATCCACCAGACCTCGACTGAGCCGGTGGAGTTGGGAGAGAGTGCGGAAGCAGGGAGGGAGGATGCTGCGCTGGAAGTTGAAAAGAGTGAGTGTGAGAGCAGCACTGACCGACCGGCATGAAATATGCACAAGGACTGGCTGGCTGCACCGGCATGAAATATGCACAAGGACTGGCTGGCTGGCTGCAGTGGCTGTGATGTGTGTGGGTGAGGCGCTGACCAGTGTGGGAAAGTGGGGCACTGACTGGTATGTGCAGGGAGGAATCGAAGAAGCCCCGGAAGCCATACTTGATGCCTCGAATGTCACTCACTCCGTACGTGTTGAGCGTCATCACCACCTGTGGGCAGAAGCACAAGGGGTGGAACGGGGTGGAGCGGGGTGGGGTGGGGTGGGGTGGGGTGGGGTGGGGTGGAGTTGGGTGCAATGGGAGTAGCAAAGCAAGTCTAAGGGCTGCAGCATTGTCGGACATGTCGACTCGGTGACATGTGGACTCGGTGACAAGTCAACTCGGTGACATGTCGACTCGGTGACATGTCGACTCGGTGACATGTGGACTCGGTGACATGTCGACTCGGTGACATGTGGACTCGGTGACATGTGGACTCGGTGACATGTGGACTCGGTGACATGTCAACTCGGTGACATGTCGTCTCGGTGGTGAGCGGTTTACACTGCAGTGATGACGATCTCGTCCCACTCACTCACCTGGCGGATGACGTCATCGAGCCCCGTCACCTGGCGGATGACGTCATCGAGTCCCCCTCACCTCGCGGATGACGTCATCAGGCCTCTCTCACCTGGCGAATGACGTCATTGAGCCCAGGGCAGAGCCCTCCGCACGTCACAACAGCAGCGCGCACGTCCTGCGGCTTGAAGTAAATGCGCGGCCTCGCTCCCGCTCGCACCAGCCTGGAGAGGAGGTGTGTGGGAGGTTGGGTGAAGGAAGAAGCCAAGGGGAGAAGGGAAGGTTGGTTCCAAGCTCACCAGCGGCGCGCACGTCCTGTGGCTTGAAGTGGATGCGCGGCCTCGCCCCTGCTCGCACCAGCCTGGGGAAGAGGTGGGGTGGAGGTTTAGGGTGAGGTGGGGGGATAGAATAAGGCCAGGGGAGAAGGGAAGGTTGGTTCCAAGCTCACCACAGCGGCGCGCACGTCTTGTGGCTTGAAGTGGATGCGCGGCCTCGCCCCTGCTCGCACCAGCCTGGGGAAGAGGTGGGGGTGGGGTGGGGGAGGGTGCGGCAAGAGAGATTAGGAAGTAATGTAAGGTTGGTTGGAAGGTCACCAATGCAGCTGACACTTGAAGGGGGTGCCTGGCTGGCTGGGCCGAGCGTGAAGAAGATCCAGGCCCAGGCTGTGCCGCTGGCTGGCTACGCCCTCATATCCACTCGCACTAGCCTGGTTCAGGGCATGAGAAAGATGGCATTCAAGGGACCAGACCCAAGAGCCTGTGAGACCAGGTCTCCCTCTTCCTCCTTCCCAGTTTTCCGATCCCCTCTGTCCTCTCCCCTACCCTCTAGCTCCCCCACCCTTCCTCCCGTCTCTCTCACACCTGTCTGCGGCCATGCAAGGCGAACGCACCAGTGCTGCTACGCAAGGCAGACGGACGTACCAGTGCTGCACGAACTGGCAGTCCTCCTCTGATGAGGCATCGGCCGTCATGGGATGCGAGTACTTCACGGTCTGGGGAACACAGGCATGGGCAAGGGGAGCAGGTAAAGCTCTTTGAGAATTCTCCAACGCCACTCTGATCGCTGCTGAGGCGCCTCAACAGCTGCAGGTCTCCTCCGATGAGGCGTCAGCCATCATGGGATACGAGTACTTCACGATCTGCACGAGCAAGCGAGATGCGGGGTGGGGTGGCGGGATAAGATAGGGCACGTTGTGACTCCTGTTGAAGCGCCACAAGTTTTGGCCATCATGGGCCGCCACTGAGTCACACTGCACGAGCAGGGAGGGAGCGAGGAGAGAGAAGGCGGCGAGAAGGGAAGGGCGCGAGGCCGGAGGATAAGTGGGAGGAGAGGAGAAGAGGAGAGGTGAAGGGTGGGTTGAAGTGGAAGGGGAAGGGAAGGGGTACTCTGTTGAAACGCGTCAAGGGAAAGGACGAATGAGGTTTCGAATGAGAGTGGTTTTCAAGAGGTTGCGAATGAGGAAGGTCAGGTCATTTACAGAATGGTTATTGGAGCACCCTGAGCGAATGCCAGCACATCTACGAGCACGTGTCCCGCCCCACCTTGAATACCGCCCCACCTTGAGCAGCACTTTGTCATTATCGTGCACGAAGAGCGACGTGGTGCCAAGCTCGTGCGTGTCGTGGTCCACGAACGACGCGCCCTTATCGAGAGGCAGCAGCGGACAGCTGCACGCAGGGAGAAGAAAGGAGGCATCATGGTGTCAGGAAGACAGGAGGGAGGCACGCAAGAAGCAAAAGTTGGCTTGATCGCCAAATCTCATTTGAGCCGTTCGATTTCCTTCCGGAAAGTGAGAACACCCAGTTGAGAGCCTCCTCTCAAGTTGAGAGCCTCCTCTCAAGGTGCGGCTCTCATCTTTGGAAGATGCATTCCGCGCGAACCCTGTAAATGCACGAATTGGCAGCGGATCGCATGGGTCCACAACTGTGATGAATTTTTAGTTGGCTCTAGACGCAATTTCGTACGAGCCATGTGAATGCACGAAATTCAATGCATCGGAAATCTATGGGTCCTTTGGACAACAGAAAGGGAGCTCCGTTGCATGTAAACGAACAACGCGCCCCTTGTCGTCAGATGAGCAAATCTTGAGACTTCGAACTGGAGATGAGGTGATTCGCGTACGGACCTTGTCTTTGTGCAAAACGTGGAGTAGAACGACGGTGAATCAGGATCGATATCCGTGATGTGCGGCAGCCAGTAACGAGTCCGCAGCTCCGCTTCTAACGGGTCCGTGATCTTATCGAGGTACTCTCTGAGCGTCGTCCGCGGGGGAATCGTCATCGTCGTATTCTGCGACGCCTCGAGAACCGTGTCGGACGGAGGGATGCGGCTGATCGTCATCGCGACTGTCGCGCTTCGATTTCGCCCACCGTTGTTACGAAGTTCGCGAGGTTGCAACAGCTTTCGTAAATGGGTGCTTCTACCGATGAAATCTCCATCAAACGGCGTTGCTTGCACGACATATTTTGAATGGCGATTGATCGGGAAGGCAAGGGAATGAGAGACGGTTACAGCTCCAACGCAGATCTTCGCCATGGCAATGACTAATTAATAGTAGATTTAAAGAAGCAACAAAGCACGAAAGGAGAACTCGTGGCTTGGCGAAAGCTTGTTTTTGTCCAATCTGTGCACAGTCCTTTTAGCTTTTAATCGGACAGTAGTTCAGAACAAGAGGAGTTGAAGCACTCTAGCAGGCGAGTTCACAGATATGAGTTCACAGAATTGCAACTTCAGGGAAGGGGGCGTGGGGGGAGGTTTGGCTGAAAGGATGCAGAAAACTTAAAGCGACGGTGCACATTTGCCACCCAAAACCCAGAACCCTGGCGAACTGTTACTGCAGATGAAAAGTGTCTGCACGAAATCCTGGTTTTCGCCAGCCAACACTTTCGCGCTGGCAAGCCTGGTTCAAAAAAAAAACTTCTGAACCCAACACTGCCAAAAGTTGCCCGTCGCTTTAAGTTGGGAAAAATCACGGCTGAAAGAGATGGGTGGAGGAGAGCCCAATAACAAGGATGGTATGGATGGGTGGGATGGATTATGCTAGGGTGGAGTGAGTTGAGTAGAGCTGGATTGAGGTGAAGTAGATAGGGTTTGTGTGGGGGGCGTGTGGGGGGCGTGGCGGGTGAGGATGCGAGGCGGTTTGGGGAGTGGAAAAGAGAAATTCACCAATAGGGTGCGTCCAATCTCAAAGAGACGGGGCCGCGTGCGCTTCGTGGTTGTATGGCCTGGTGCAGTTGAATAATGTTTACACGTGTGCATCCGCCTTTCGTCAGAAAGAACCACGCTGCCCAATGATCGCTGCCTTTTCCCAAGTCGGCGCATGTAAAGTGGAAAAGTATCCAATCACATCCTCAATACTCCAGCACATTCTGGCCAATGCGACTGAGGCATTTGTGCTAGCAAATTGCTGTAACGACAAGTATCAATTTTGCAAGCTAAAATGTAGACTGGAATATGTTAAAAATGGGATTCAGAGTGAGAAGAAGCAAGAGCAAGTGAGAGGCAAAGGTGCACCACCAATCAGTTTGCTACATTAGCCAATAAATTCTATACTAAGGCAGTTCGTGTAAGAAAAATGTGCGCAATCATTTTGACACACCCCCTTTACTGCCTGCAACAAGAACTGTTGCAGTACACACCAGTTCTTGCTGCAGGCAGTTAGGGGGGGATGTCAAAATGTTCGAACACATTTTTTACACAAGCTATTCTGCTAAGAAGCATCAATTGATAAAACCCTAAACCCTGCCTAGTGTTGCAATACAATGCAATATCATGCAGTATCAGTCACCACCTTGCATCAGCATGTGATATTCGCGCAGCTCATCTCACTATATAACGGTCAGGAGGGCAGGGAGTGCAAACATCACTACCATCCAGGTTGCGCGGAAACGAGCAGAAGCTTTGCCAGTTGTATTCTGTAAATGAAAGAAAACAATTAGATTACATCAAACCCGGCCCAAGACTTAGAGACAACAATTGGAACAGGAAAACTTTACTCGGAGCAAAAAGGGGATTGTGGCGCTGAAGACACATACCACGTCATTGCCGATGTAAAAGGAGAGGTTGTATGAGGCGGCAGCGGCACCAGGGGCAGCAGGGGGAACGATGCTGGCATTGAGAGTGAGCGACTGGTTGGCAGGAGCACTCATGGAGAGGGCAGGGAAGGCGGTGGGTGTGACTGTCTGCACTGTGTTGCTGCTGAACGGGGTAGTTGCGAGCGACGCCTGAGTGACCAGGGTAATTGGGAACACTAGCCCAACACCCACAGCCTGGAGTGTTGAGGGGAAGGGAAGGGGAATGGCTTGCAGTTGGTTACATGCCAAGATTATTACCAGACTACATGGCAAGGCGATGGCTGTGCAGAGATCAGGCATCTCGATGCTGCTATTGCGCAAGAAATCCCTGACTGAAAAGTTGGGATTGGTTTCTCCATTTCCTCACCTTGCTGTTGTTGCCTGCAATGAAGGGCATGGCGTCAAAGGCCCCAGGGAGAGGAGTAGGTCCCTTGGATGGCACCATGATGTACCCGATTCCCTTCATGGCTCTGGTGGGATGCCACACACGAAACCATGCACACACAAGGGAAGTGTAAAGGGAAACGCTGAATCACGAAATGAAGCAATACGGAGCACACAAAACGTAGGGAGAGAGGACCACGGGAAAGAAAAACTCACAAAGGACTCAGAGTTTACGAGCGAATGTATCGCCGCTACTCACAGGGGATCCGCGTGCACGGACGGGAGGCGCATGATCACTACTCACAGGGGGTCGACGCGGATGGAGGGGAGGCGCATGGTGGAGCCAGCGGGCTGGCGCACAAACATCTCCGTGTAGAGAAACCCCACCGACGTCCCGCCGCCATTCACCACCGGCGGACTCCCAAACGCCTGCGCCACCGTGACGTCAGCACCCTCGTCTGTGGAGCAGATGTATCCACGAAGCATGCCATTGTCTGTTTCCGTGCAAATGCTGCCGATCTGACTCGCTGTGGCTTCATCCAGGAAGGAGAAGGTGAGGTAGACGTAGCAGGAGAGGCAGATGTCCGTGCCTGACGCGAGGTATGCAGGGACGGCCTGGTCAGGTGTTACTTTGGTGGTGTTGTCTGCAGGGGGGGAGAGAGGGACGTGGAAGGCGAGGTGGAAGGGGAGGTGGGGAGAGAGGAGTGTGTGAGTGGTACAAGAATGGTGGGTCGAGAGAAGGCGAGAGGCGAGAATGGTTGATCTGGTACTGTAACTGTTAAAGCCTGTCAGCTGCATACGTGGTGCAGAAGCATGAAATCCACATGCATGCATGTGGTGGCATGGCATGTTTACACGTACAGATGGGGTAGCAGGAGGAAGGGCTGAAGGACATGATGATGTGCTTGACGTCCGTGAGGGAGGAGAAGCCTGCATATTGATGAAAAGGAAGAGAAGGAGATGGGAGAGTATATCGAAAGATGCTATATGGGGGATGTGTCTGGGGGCAAACGGAAAAGCAACTCACTGTGCAGAAAATCAAACCGAGCTCATGATTCGTGTACTGAGATCTAAGCTGCTGTAATTGGTGTTGCGTGACGGCACTCACTGGACGGCAGAGGGTATTTCTCCACAATGTACTCCTGCTTGGGTGTAACCGACTTAATCCAGTCCGGTAGGTTCGCCTGCAGCAGAAACTCGCATCAGTGAGGAAGGGAGTTGGGGTAAGGAATTATAAATCAGGGATTTCTGACAACGAAATTGCTCAATGAGGAACACTGTCGTACACGTATAACGTAGAATAAGGATGAAATCAAACGCGTTAATGAGAATGTAAGGCAATTGACTAGGGCTCGGGCCTGATGTGATCACGCCGCAGCACATTTGAACGAAAAAACGAACGAACCAAACGAACGAACTAACCTGCACGCGGATCTGATTGCGACTGGGTCCGACATCAACGCGCAAGTAACCTCCGAAGAAGTTGGTGGTGAAATTCGCGTTCATAGTGCTCTGAGCCAAACCCCTGAAAGAGGAAAGCTACCGTCAAGAAAATACAGAGAGTAGGCAAACGCAAGAACGCGAGAAACTTCAAAATATCTTCGTTGATATCCAACATATATACCCGGAGGGAAGAAGTGCGGAGGCGGCGATGAGAACGATGAGAGCAATGCTCGACGGCGACGCGAGCTTCATCGACGCCATGGCTCCCACTGACAGATCTTAGCAGAACCAGCCAACAGAACAGAAAAACTGCTGATGGAAAAATGCTGATCGCAAATTGTGGTATCATCTGCAGCGAGTGTACACAAGATGCCCAACCCCTGCACGCGAAATTGCCTCGCACATTCCAGAAACCTTGCACACGAAGGTTTTTTCCCGGGCAGTTGCACCCACGTTACAAGCACGTCAACCAATACGAACCACAGAAACAGAAGAGACCGAAGTCAAACAGTCAACGGTGAGTTACAAAATTTTGCTATAAGCCCTTTTTGCCCGATGCGAATCGGCGAAACCTCCACGAAATGCATGAATCACTTAAGCGCCCCCTTCACAAGGCAACCTTGGGTTAGTCAAACGGACATCGTGTGCAACGAACGAACCACAGGGCTTCGGTTCATGCATCCGTCATGGCGTCTGATGCTCGCTCATAATCAGGGCTCATTTTTCGTTTCAAGCCACTCTTCCGAAAAAAAGTGAAATCCGCGTGCCCCTCGGCTGGGCCGAGTGGCGCGCTACAAAATCCGGGTGCAGGCCGGGTAAATTTCTGCTAACTCTTTCTTGTACAAACTTTGTATGTGCAGTCGCATTTCGAGGACTTAGCCAAATTCTCAAGCTGATCCAATCCTTGACTCGCAATCAAGAACTTAGCCAAATTTGATGTTCACCCATTCTTTGTGACTCGCAGACAAGGACTTGGACTGTTCAGAGTTCGCTATTTTGGCGAAGTACAGAAGAAAATGAGTGGGGGTGATTTTGTACTTGCACAGAAGGGCCGAGTGGAGAATTCAGGCATCCGGCCACAGCAGCCTAAAAAAAAATCGGACCCTGAAGTTGGCCGAGTCACAATCGTGGCAGCTCGTTTTTGCCAAGTGGGCCAAAAAATCCAACCGGATTTGAATAGTAGGCCGGGTAAATCCCCCTGCAAAAGTAGGCCCTGCTCATAATCCAAGCTGGCTGGTTTGGTTTGGTAACGTTAAGGATGAGGGAGAGCCTCTGGATGGTTTGGTTCGGATGCCGTACGTCCTCGCAGCAACCAATCGAGCACGTACGGCGGCACTGTTGCCGTGGGTGGCAGTGCCGCCCCGTGCGGGAGATGTTTTGCCCCTTCCCGCATTACTCGTGGTACAGTAATCGCGTGAACGTACGTAGTACTGTAGGTGGGTGGAAGGGCTAATAGCCACAAGATTCTAGGCCAAATCCCCGCTGTTTAGGACCCTCCTTTTCGACTGACTGTCCTTGCTTGAGTGCTTTCGCCAACGATAACGGCGCGTGTCTTTTGCAGTAGACGTTCGGATTTTTTGTTGAACTTTCGCTGGTTACCCGTTTTCATCTTGTCGCGAATGTTTTCGCGAAGACGTCGTGTGTCCAAGGATAAGGTCGGAGGTATTGAAATCACGAATCCGAAGTTGAACTTTCTTCAACAATCATGTTGGCACGAAAACGCAAGTGTGTGTTCAGCTGACTACAGACGACGAAGATGCGAAGTCTGCGACACTCGCAGCTAGCGTCGTGCGCACTAGCGACGTCGTCATATTGAATGCCGGCTTCGGCAACACACACGTGGCAACCTACTAGACCCCAACCCAAACCGGGTAACCTACGAGAATAGACCGCGACTCGGCTGGGGCTCAAAAGTTCAACTTCGATAGGTGAACTTTTGTGTGTCCTGTGATTCTCGGGGGTGTTGGAGCCGCGACTCGATTTGAAGATGTGGGTACTCGAGCCTAGGTCGACCTAGGTTCAAATGCATGCAGTTCAACCCAAAATCCGAGTTTTTCCTATAAAAACCAAAAGACACGCGCCCTAATGTTTATTCGCTTGCCGTCGCGGAGCTCCGCACAGGGGGGGAAGGGAAGGCAATCTCGCAGCGTGATAAAATGTCGTTCGTGATTCTCGCCAACCTCGCAGATTCACTGTGCATGAGAGCCCACGTTTGGATATAAGGGCGTGTAACCATTTTACCACTTTATGGGCCGGACGGTCCGAAATGTGGACCGTCCGACTAGCGAACGGTTACCAACGTCGCACTTTGTCGTTAGAGTTATCGTTTGTACTTTTGCGACGTCGCAAAAAAAACTCGGACGGTTGTGACACTTTTCCCCACTTCAACAGTTCGAAATGTCAGAAGCGGACAGTCCGAAACACATTCGGACCGTCCGAATGTCCTTGCATGAGATTGGCGGACGAAATGGAAAAATGTTACAATTTTCGAGTCGGGTCGTGAATATTTTTCGAGATTATAACGAAACTCGCTCCTTGGATTATGAACGGTACAGTGATCACGAATTTGAAGAGACTCGAAAAATGTGTCACTTCCCACTTCAGACGGTATCTAAGTGCCGAACTGTCGATTCGGAAGGTCCTATCCTCGTGATTAGGACCGTTCGAATGAAAAAAAAAAAAAAGAAAAAAAAAAACGGACTGTCCGCAAAAACACCAACTGGCAAAATGGTTACACGCCCTAAGGGCACGTGAAATTCGACCCCAGTTCATTGTCCTTCGGTTTCATCAATCTTTGAACTTGGATACACGAATATCGTAAAGAGCTGTAGACGAAATCGACGAGACGGGTTACCAGCCAAAGCTCGACCTTTTTTTAACTTCTACACCAAAAGACATGCGCCCTAAACTCGATCAAACCCGATCAACCCCCCTCCCACCTCCTATCCCCCACAGCGCCTTCTCTGCTTGGTTGGTTCGAATCCACCAGTTCGAATCCACCAAGTGCGCCCATGGGCGGAAACGAGCTGCCCGGGGCAAAAAAAAAACTAAACCCCTATCGGTCTGCCTTGCGAGCGGGTTTTTTTTTTCCTGCCGGCAGATAGCTTCCGCGAGCGAGCGGAAGCGATCGCGCATCCGCCCATGTTTTTACTGTTCAGGCACGGATGAACCTTTGAGCCCCTTCTTCCTCTGGTTTGTGGATGAGAAGGAAACGCACCGAGGTTGTGGAAAATTGCCAACGATCAATGCAATGGACGCCCCTATGATCGCTTGCGGCGATTTGCGAAGTTTCAACAGTAACGCAGGGCGAAAGTCCCCGGTTGGGATGTAGCCTCCGAACCGATCAAGATAAGTTAGGTTTGGAAGCAAGCTGCACCACGTCCTCCGCATACTCGAGAGTCCCGGGTTCGAGTTCCAGCAATGGAACTAGCTTCTTGCCTGGTGCCTTCGCTATGATAGATGGTTTGCTCCCCAACACCGCGTTTGCTCGCCAACATCGTTTTTGCAGATTCCCGCTCGGCCCTCGACTCACTCCCTCGACATCGTTTCCGCCAGGCTAATGTAGATGTCTGTTCCGTGAATCGTTTGATATTTCATGCAGGCGCACATGAAGGACTTGCGAATTTCCGACTCCTCCCAACCCTCCATTGTCAAGGCCTCCAACGTCACGAAAAAATTGAGCACGCTCGAGCAGCAAAACCAAAGGACTGTCAGGGTGTGCAAGGGGGTGGCATGTGAGAAGAAATCTAAATGAGTCTCTGGACATTGCATTGGTTTGCGCAGCCCTCCCAGACGCATCCCAGGTATCACAGCCGATGCCTGTCCCGCTATGTCCGTCCGGTGTGGTAGCAAGCGCAATTACCCTCTTTGAAGCAAGCTCATTACAACGCTTTTGCAAAAATAAGAAACATATATAGTACATATGTAAAAACAACAACATGAAGTGTGCACTTAAAAATGTGATATTGCACACTCACTTTAGCACCGTGCAAGCAATGGATGTCATCTCTAAAAAGGTCTGACCCCAACCTGACCCAAATTTGACTTCGATGTCATCTTCGGGTCAGGCGCCCAGGTTTATCTAGGGTCCCAGGGTCCGTCAAGTTTGGGTCACCCAAGCCAGACCCCAACCTCACCTCTCAGCCAACCCAAAGGTGACGCGCAGGTCAACACTGTTCATCCGCGTCGCCAACACTGTATAAACTGATTCGCATACTGGTATAGTAACTACAGTAATTATGCGTGTACGTATACTCTTATGAATGGACACAAATAGAGCTGGTGAAATATTTTATTGGAAAATCAGAGTTACAATATTATCTTTAAAACGAGCACACAACACAATATAAAACCCAGTTTCAAAGATGACCAACGTGCAACACAATTTCCCGTCATCTAGGAGAAGTTACAACAATTACAACATCCCCCACTCTAGTATTAGTGACTCATCAGCTACTAATCATCAGCTAACTTATGAGGCTAGTCCAATAAATATAACATCTGCATATCGAACATCTGCAGAAGAAAAAAAGTCACTAATTAGCATATTTAACCAAAACAGTGAACATTCAGTACGTACCACATTGCAGGCCAAACAGCTATTGCCATAATGAACTTCCACTCTTTTGTTGGGTAGACACGCCCTGTTACCAACAGGAACATGAACGCGAAAGAAACAAAAGACCACCAAATGTGATGCCATGTTGCAAAAAAAACAGGACCACCACATACCCGATGGTCACCCAGGGCTGCTAGTAGCAGCGTGAGCCATGTGGAAGCCACGACTGGAGCCGTTGCTGCGCCAGTGGCGCTGCGTCGAATTTCCAGAGGTGAGACCCTCGCCGCTTCCCAGCATCGCCATCACCGCCACCACGCCCAACATAGCCACCCGCCCAACCATCCCCGCGCCCTCGCTCCTTGCCACCACTCCTGAAAGAGCCTGCGAAAGCGAGAGGCAAGGAGAAGGGCGAACAACCGTTAGAAACTGAATGAAAAAGAGACAAATGAATGTACTCGGCAGAATTAAAGTAGACGCTTTCTTACCTAGTCGATAGTCACCCACGGCTGCTAGTACCCTCGATTGGAGCCGTTGCTGCCCTTCGTGAGACCTTCATCGCTCCCCAGGAACGGCATCACCGCCACCCGCCCAACCACCCCCGTGCCATCTCTCCTTGCCACCAACCTTCGCCTCCCTTCCCACCGGCGCTCGATCAGGAGGCGGCAGCTCCGACGCCGGCGCCACGGTGGATGCGGTGGGGCCTTCGCTGGAATAACCTGCGAAAACGATAGGCAAGGAGAAGAGCAAAAACACCTTAAGAAATTATAATTAACTTTGTTAGCATTGTGGCTAGGGATGGGCATCATATCAGCTGCACGACAGGACTAACTCATGGTAATTCATCTAAACGGTACGAAACACCACTGCACGACGAAACATAACTCGTTCTAACCTCATCGCTGCCCGATATATTTCCTAAGTGCAGGGTGCGTAGAAAAACAGACACAAAAGTCGAGCTGCTGTAAGCAAATGAATGTGTGCTCAGCAGAGCAATGTTCAATGGGCTAACTTTGTGACTAAATCAGGTTCATCGCGGTATTACACGGTCTACATGTATTTAGCAACGGTACTGGGGTTGGGCGAGGTTTGCTGAAAGGGTTGGGGAAGAAATTGGATGACTTGGAATAGGTGGTTCTCTGTTGTTCTGTGCAGCTGTTATTCGGATGGCAGGTGTGCAGCTTTCGGCGCAGCTGGCAGATCACGACCACCTGTCCATGACAGGTGGCGCACATTTACTGCCCTAAACCCATTGAGCTGGCAGTGTTTCCCGTTTGCAGACCAATGGAAGGGCCACAGTCTATGGGGCTCGGCTGTTTCTGGTTCTGGGTGCTCGTGATAGACTGTTCTGATTCGCGTGTTAGCGTTACGCGATCACAGTGGCGGTTTTGTAACTTAGTTCGCTCACGGTTCGCTCTTGGTGATGCGACGGGTGCTACGGAAGTCGCGCGAAGGGCAGGCGTGTAACCAAATTCCACAGCAGTAAAATCGATAGAAGATTAATAACCTAAACAGGATATCAAAATGACTGTACAGTGCATCCTAAATTTTGGTATCATATAAAGTTGGATATTATTGTTATACCAGCCAGTTACAAAATAATATTTTCTTCAACATGAAACATTTTTCCTTGTTATATTTTCACCGAACAGATGTCACAATATTTACATGTCTCGTAATGAGTTGATATATGTATCGTACGGCTTATACCTGGTATGAGTGTAACAACGTGTTGTTTTGTTTTGCGTTATTTCCTCTATTGATGCATTTTTCCGTAAGCTTGCGATTCGTTAATGTCTTCTTTTGACGCGATCCGGGCAATTTCGACGAACGTTTGGTCAATGTCTGCTATCGAAGCGACGCGAGAAATTCACGAAATCTGATTGGTCAATGTTTGTTTCGAAGGCGGTTCGGGTTCGTTTGGCAGCACCACGATGGTATGGTTGGGGTCAAATTCGGGTCAGGCGCGATATTTCTGGCGAAATTTCTCACCTCGAGGTGACCTGCGGGTCCCGTAAGGCTGCACTTGACCTGGATGTCACCTTTGGGTGAGGTTCAGGTGACCGTGTAGTCACCTGGGGGTTGTAAAATTCGGATGGTCAGGCTAGGGTGGGCCAATTTTTGTAGATGGTAGGGTTCCACGAGGTATGCTACGGGGTATGCCAGGAATACAGCACAGTAACAGTCAGAAGGGCAGGCACACACGCTTCCGCAACATGTGAACCAGCGTTACCATTGGAGCCCCTGCTCTCCATCCTAGTCCCGTTCCTCGTTGATAAGGTATGCCCACTTGTTGAGGTACCAGAAATCTGGCTCGTCGAACGACGGCACGAAGTGGACTGTGCGGCGGAGCTGGGAGATGGGGACGACAGCGAGCCCGCGATGATACTCGGGTGGGCCGAGCATCTGGCAGCCCGTGCACTGGTCAAGGCCCTGGGGGGTCAGCCTCTGCAGTACGGCCACCTCTGCTGGCTCATAGTTGCTGTCGTCCAGCGGACGCTCTGCATCCAGGAGCATGAGCAGCCGTCCGTACTGGGTCTGCCCACGGGCCGATTCGTACTCCACGTAGGAGAAGGTCGTGCGCCCGTGCAGCGATGCTGCAGCACGTACATAATGGGGCTTGATGTGCCCGTGGTCGGTTGGCTGGGCCGGCAGCGCCACTGCAGTGTGCGCCTGCAGCGCACAGGGTGGTATAGGGTCAGCAAGGAGGGTTGAAGAACATGCGGTAAAGTGCGGGATGTTTAGTGCATGTAGCGAGAGACATGGCCAGGTGGGTTTAGGCATACGCCGAGCTGTAACCAACCAGCCATGTACATATGTCCTGAAGTTATTCTACCAACTGTCAACGAGATGTGATACACTTACCTTGGCTGGGAAGGGGCGCAAGCCGGCGTGGCGCATCACAGTGTCGTAGCATATTAGGAGCCCCCCGACGGCCTTGTTGATCTCCTCAAAAACTGAGCCCGCGTCAAGGTCGTGGTCGGGCCGTGCAGTCAGGGACTTGCGCGATGCCGTCAGCTGAGGGGTGCCAGGCGCAATAGCCTGGAGGAGGATGCATCGGTCCAATGGTGTAAATATGCCCATTAGCTCAATCGCACAAGACACAGGGGTAGAACCTCGAAAACAATGGCGGGAATGTAAACCCCTACCCGGGTCAATGCCGTCTGGTTGCGCCTGCGGGCTGGAAAAGCCGTTGTCAGCTGCGTCAGCGCAGCGGCGCGCACGTTGTGCGCGGCAATCGTCTGCAGAGGCTGGCGGCGGTTGGATGTCCTGTAAGGCAGCTTGCACGTGCGGATGTGAGTGTTCTCGTACACCGCCGCCGAGTACTGGCTCGGTAACCCGGCACGCCTGACAGACTCGGGCACGTGGGTGAGGAGGTGGACCTTGATTAGGTTCCACCCATCTCCCTCACGCGGGAAGACAGACTCCACAGTTTGTATCATCCTGCGTACACCGACCAATGTCATATTAGCTACCGGTACGAAGAGACAACGGCTATAATCCACCAGGGTGGGCGCCTTACCTCTTTGTAGCCTGCTCGAAGTCTCCAAGCGACACGTCAGAGTGACTTGGAGCTCGCCAGCAGACTCGTGCCACTCAAGCACAGTCACGAGCGCCAGCCTGTTGACAATCTCCCCCTCTCCCTCGAGCGCGAACGGTGCGAGCTGCGACACGGCAGCGCGGATGGTCAGTCATGCTCACAGTATAGCAACACACGGACGCGGCATTCGCCGTAAAAACTGTGCGTACAAACCAACGGAATGCACCATCATAGCAGAGGCATGCTCGCTGGCGGTGAAGTTTGTGCCACAGGCCCAGTAGCTGCCAGACCCGGGGGGGGGGTGAAGTCCTGCTAGTCGAGCGTCGGGATACATGGTCTGCATGCGCCTGCCACGCAAGGACGGAGAGCAAAAAGAGTACGTTCAGCAAAAGCAGCACTCCATAGAAGTGGGAATATGGCGGACCAATTCCATCGTCACATACTCGTCCTTCCATCTTGCCATGGTGTTGGACCCACAAAAAGAAGCCAGAAGCCGATGTAGATGGCGTGCAGAATGTCTGGCATTTGCGCCAGGTACGTGTTGCCCCACAGGGTACGGCTGAAGTTGAGATCCCACAAAAAGCTCTGTTATTGGGGAGTACAGGCAGGGATGGGTTTAGGGGTTGCATGAGCCTGGAAACGCGGCGACCAATGCCATCACACCCACAAAGCCAAACATATGCTGCAGCGACAGTGCGGTATAGTTACCGGGATTGGAATGGTCGAGTACTCCTTCGCCTCTGTTGGGTCGCCCACCAACTGCTCCTGCTGCTGGACCGTGCGGTGGTCGGCTGGGTCCCGCTCCATGTCTCGGAGCTGTCCTCGCCCCACGTAGCAGATAGAGCAAGGCATCGCCGAGGCCAGTTGCTGTATGCACGAGACCTTGCAAGTTTCGGGGTAGTCAGCAACGTAGGAGAACAGCAGAGGCACAAAGTAGCGGTCCACCCCTGTCGGATCCTTGGCTGCTAATCCCCTGCCAATCCAAGGACACGATGTAAGGAGGCGCGCAAAGGTTAGCTGACAGTCCAGTACATAACACATGTGCACATTCTAGCCAAGGCTAGGGGCAAGCAGACTGGCTGATGCCTGAAAAGAAGACGGCAGTATACTTACGTGTGACTGGCAAAGATAAGATCGGCCAGCACGATCTTCATCGCCGCTTGAAATAGCTCCACTTTCTGGGCCGGAGACATGTTATTCTGCGCGAACGGGAGCATCGCCAGTAGAATCTTCCCGCAGCCAAGCCATCGGCGCCGGAGCGGGATATTAGCGATGGAGATATACACCGCCCACACTCGGGTGCGCTCATTTCCGGTTAGAATGGTCGAATCGCTCGAGAGGATGAGCGGAACCACCACCGCTCCAGGTCCATTCTCCGCCTGTGCTGTCGTATGCGCGTATTCCCAGAACGTTGCGGTTTCTGGAGTCGTGTACACACGTCCAGCAGTTGTGTTCACTTGGCGTGGCTCGAGCACGAACCCTTCGGCGTTCTCTGGATTCCCAAGTAGCTCGATCACGGCTTGCATACAATGACGAGCCACGATGAATATAGTGTTCAGTTACGTACGCATTGGTGAGCCCCTTCAAGAATAAAAGGGTTCAGAGTATACGTGCAACCTGCTTACCTCCGTCCCGCTCGTGCGAACCACTTGGAACGTGCCATTCCATCCAGGATTGTTGAACGAGGTCGTTTCGTAATTGCGCCTAGACATGAGCAGGTTCATGCCGAAGCGTATCACGGCGTACAACGTTCGCCAATGTCGGATACCCGCTAGCTCGAGGCGCTCGTTGCGCAGAAGGTTCAGGAGCCCCACCGTACTCTCGTTCGAGAGTCCCGCACCGTTGTTGCAGCCATCTATGAAGCGGAACACCTCCATTAGCGTGTCGAAGTTGTCCTGTGGCTGAAACATGCCCTCAGGCGCACTCTCCTCGCCATCCAGTATCGCAGCAGCATGTGCTTCCTCATCTGACGATGCACCGGCAGATTCGTCCGACTTTCCGTCGTCGTCGCTTGACACCTGCACATGGCCAAACCAACAACATTAACCAGTGATGTGTGCACTGACGAAACCCCGACGGCTATGGCTTGTGTTACAAGCCATCTTACCGCATCTTCCTGCTCCGTGGGCGTGGCACGTTCGACGGCGCCATTGTCGACGCCGTCGTTAAGCTCGGGCATATCATCATCGGATCGACGCTGTCATCGTCTCCCTCACTGTCACTCCCGCCAGGAGTTGGAGTTGAGCTGATAAAGCGAGAAGAAACTATGATGCAGGCCCCAGCTCTGCGCTTGTAGAAAAATAACCCCGTCAGAGATCGAAACCGGTTAGAGCACCACTCGCAGGCGTAGAGCGACCCCTGCGTCGACATTGGAAACCCTAGGAAGGGCGCACCATACACGATAAAGGGGTTGGCGTTGATGGGGATGTGCCGTTGGCGGGAGCTCCTATGTTCTTTTATCGCGTATACCAGCTCCTTTATTCTAGTTCACAACTGCATTGTTGTTTAACCTGCGTCACTGGATACAATGGGTGTATGGAAACATGCCACATTACCTTAACGAATCCAAACCTGTGTCAACATGCGTGTTCATTGGTTGGTTGGCTCGTTTATGCTGTCAGGGGGTAGTAGGGTAACGATTACCACTATTCCAGGGTGCACGATGGCCGGAAACATGATGTGGCGGATACGCTGTACCCTCGCCAGCAAATCCTGTCACGATTATGACAGATCATACGTGGCGCATTGGATCCACGTAGATAGGGGTATGTGCGATGTGGATGTTGAATAACGCCGACATGCGTTACAACACTCGTGCAACATCACCACTTTGGCCACGGGTCAAGGAACCCAAGTCGCCCTCTCCAAATGTCATTCGACCACATTTGGAGCCAGGTTTGCTGTGTTGGTTGCTCCATTGACAATTAGCAAGGTGTTTCAAGGCCAGGCCATGGCTTCCGTGCCTCCTAAGCGACAACCCTGAGATTGTCGCGGTATTGATGCAAGCGGAATTCAACCGCATCATCGACAATGGTTGTAACCTTACGCCACGGAAGTTAACCGACTGCATACAGCACCTTATTCCATCTCGACACGTCTGCGCAGCAACCCAAAGAATGGAAGCAATCTAGGCCTTGCGGGATGCGCGTGGGGGCGACCCGGGAGGCACTGGTCAGTCCGAAGGGCATCGCCGTGTATTCGAATGATCCGTAGCGGGTTCGGAAGGCGGTTTTTGGGCAGTCGGGCAGATTGACACGGATTTGGTGGTAACCTCTTCAAAGGTCAATTTTCGAAAAGGCTCGGGCTGTGCGATGTTGATCGATCAGTTTTTCGGCTAACGTGACTTGATGGTAACTCGGTTCAGTGCGCGGTAATCTATGCACATGCGAATTCCCACCTGTTTTTTTCGGCATGAACTGTATCGGTGCGGCGAAGGGCGACGAAATCGGACAAATGAACTGTTTCTCGAGCAATTTATTTTAGATGCTTCCGTAGTTCGTCCAGTTCGGGTTGGGTGAGTCGAAATTGTTGCTGTACTATCGGTTGAGGCCCCCGGTTCCAGCTCTATCCTATGGTCGTGCGGTGGCTAAGGTGGCAGTCCCTCTGGCAGATCGTGCGGAAAAATCCCGCTGTACTGCTTCAGTAGCGCTGCCAAGTCACCCGGTATGTTGGCAAGCAGTTTCTGCAAATCACTTCCCTTGTCTGCTGCCTCCGCTTTCCGGATGTCAACCGCGTACATGTCAGCTCCTGCCGCTACGACGCGTTTCATCGTGATAGCGTTGACACGCACCGACGAAGACTCAGGCGAGCTCTAGCGAGGTAGGGCGATGTTGTTACCGTTCACTCGCACGGTGCAGTCACCCGTCGTCCAGTCGATTCACTGATTGTGCCGTCGCAGCCAATGACGGCCGAGTAAAAAATCGGTCCCGTCGAGGGTCGTTGCGAGCATTTCTAGGGTAAATGTGAAGTTACCCCCGCATCGGATCCGAACTTGGTCCACGCATTCCCGTATCGCCAGTGGCGTGTCGTCTACCAGTCGTGCGTCGATCTGAGGTAAACACCTGTCCAGTGGCAGTTTGAGTCTTCATGCTGTGGCGGTGTTGATCAGGCTGTGGTTGGCTCCCCCGTCCACGAAGATTTTAACTAAGTCTAGCAATATGGGGCTGTCTACCATTTTACCCTCCTTATTCGGCCAGGTGTGGTCAATTGTGTGAACCGGAAAAATCACTCGGTGAGGGTCAGTTGGTTCGGGCGAGCGGCGTGACTTGTCAGTAGAGGGCCCGTCTGCTACTGACTCCCAGCGTTTCCCTGCTGCTTGGTCTGTTTCTGCTGCTCAGCTTCCCCCTTTCCCTTAGCGTTTTCCGGGCATTCGCTCTTACGGTGCCCCATCCTGTTGGACGCAAAGCAGCGCCCTTCAAACGGTGCGGCAGCGACATTCGCGGCGACAGCGCATATCGTGGCGTGCTCGTTCGTCCCATGAGGCTGACGTCCCCAGCTGCTACTGCTGCTGCCGGAGGACCCCAGTTTCGGTCGGCGTAAGAAGTCAAGCTTCCGCCATAACAAGAATGTCGCTGAATTCAGTGACGTTGCGGAGCTGAATTTCTTGGGCGATTCGTGTTTCAGGCTGCCGATGTAGCGGTCGATACGCTTTCCCTCGTGCATATAGCCCACATACTCGCACAACGCCAGAAACCCGCTGGTGTAGTCCTGGACAGAATCGAGCTGGCGCCAAGTGCGGAGCCTCTGTCGCGCCGAGATCGAAGCCGCAATTGGCTCGAATCTCGCGCGCAGACGTGCGCACCACGAGTTCCACGCGCGATACAGGGGTAGTTCCAAGAAATAAGACGGCGCCCAGGGTCCGGTTTGTCCTTCCCGTGTCGGTAGAGTCGCGTAGTCCACCGGCTTTGTGACGATGACGCGCCACGAGTCCATGGCGGGTCCTCGCAGCAGCGACACAGCGTATCGAATCTTCGCCGAGTCCTCTGAGACGTATTTGGCGTCGAAAAAGACGTTCATCGTGAACAACCACGCCTGAAGGGTCGGACCATCTCACTGGCTTGGATCGAACCAAGGCGGACGCTGCGGTTTGAGGGGCATCGGTGACGGCAGCGCTGACTCGCCGGTCGGCACCGCAATCATGACGCGGGGTTGGCTCGTGGCTGCATTCATCGCTTCGAGATGTGTTGCGCCGTGGCCGTCGTCTCCGTCGTTGCGGGCGACGCCATCACTAGCCGCGCTCGAGGGTTGCCCTGCGCTTTCGTGTTGCGAAGCTTGACGTGCTGCTTGTCCTTGTGTGCCTTGTGCTTGTGATTGTGCTTGTTGCGCCCGTGTGACGTCGTTTTACAGCGACGCACGTTCTGCCATCAACGCAACAATTTCTCCTGGGCTTTCTTGCAGCTATTGCAACGGTTGGTCCAGGCGCTCCTGCATGAGGGTCGTAACGTCGATACATTCCCCCATGTCGAAGCGCGGCGGCTCGGCTTAGCTCTAGGCGCAGTCGTGGCTGCACGCGTCTCCTAGGTGCTTAGGGGCGTGAATCATTTCGAGTGCAAAAATCAAACGTTGGTTTCTCTAGGTACGGAGGTGCGCGGTCCGAAAGAAAAATGGCTCTGTTACCTAGTGTTACGGGCGCAATGGAACGAGATAGCGAGGATTGCACTAGGTGTCAAACGAGTACAAAGTATGAGCGAAGGCATGAGCGAATACTTATACGCGAAACATGCAAACGGTAACGCGGTGCGTGCGAGCTAGCTAGTGCTAGGCTGGCATCGAGGTTCCGAAGCGTAGGCCGACACGGCCGGGCCAGCAGTGCGTGGTTTGGTGAAACAGTGCGCGCGGAATTGAAGAAGCCCCGTTAGCAGTAACAGGCGAACAACCGCCAACCGCTCCAACCAAACCATCTCCAACCGCTCTCAACCATGCTGTTTTTTCCTGCAAGTTCTTATAACCGAGGTCAGTCTAGCGAGAACGAGGGTGTACCTCGAGTGAGTATAACCAATATGTGAGTGAACGCCTGGTCTTCTGTTTCACCCCATGTGCCAGGGCGATCCGCTGGATGCTCCAGAGTCGCAGGGAGGCATGTGGTGTGACGGAATGAAACGATTGGTGCATAATCTCACCAATGAGACGTGAACTTCACTTGAACTAGCTGATGTGTGCAAACGCTGTCAAAATGAGTGGTGATGATTACTGGTCAGAACGTCGAACCACAGCGAAGAATCCAATGGCTGTTGGGAAACATGGGTGTGACGGGACAGTGAAGTTGGGTAAAGTCGCACAGCGTCGCAGGAGCTGACAGACACAGGTCCCACACGCCTCAGGGGTTTTTTCCTTGCCCGGAAGCTTACTGAACAAACCTCGAGATTATCCACACCCACACGGTACAGTTCAATTTGTGGAAGCCCTCCTCCCAGTTTGCTTGTGCTCACCAGCGAGAAGGTGACACTTCGGGTAAAATTTCTAATCGCCCCGTAAAGCAGCCCTGCCCTGGGCACTCTGTGTGGCACCCAAGTGGCAAACATGTCAACCACTACACGCAATCGCACAGCCTGCCCCGCCTTCCACCTGGGCAAACCGAGCCTTGTGGCAGCCCAGACCAACCAAAACCGAACTGCACGGGCAAGCAGAACAAAGGCAGGTACGGATAGCGTGTTTGCTTGAACCGAACCAAACCCGAACCAAGGGTTAGGAAAGACGGGGCAACGACGGAGGCTTGATTTTGCCACCCCTGGAACAACGTTCCCCGGCCTTGGCTTGCCTTTTTTCCGAGTTCCCTGCGATGCCACCGCTGCGTGAACTCCCAGCCAGCCCTTCACAGTGGCCGATTCGGATACTGTAATCCATCTGTGGAGAGTGGAACACTTGTTCCTTCACACGGAGGGCTTGTTGTGAAGCGAGCTGGCGGATCCACCCACTCCGACCCGCGCGATGGGGGTGTTCCGTCAATTGTTGTGTCCGCTCGATAGTCCACAACTTCGGTAGTTGATCAGTCCAATAATTGCTCGAAATTGCGTTTAGCTTGGGGGTACAGTAGCATAGGTCGTCTTGGCTGGTGGTCACTGACTTGTAATCATCGTGCTTCACCTGCGGCTGGTGTAGTTTTCGTTTTGTTTTGGACCGACTTTTAGCTGCTCACTCTGTGATTAGGCTTGTTTTGCTAGCAGATCAGCTTCTTGCGTGCGCGTTCTTCTGGCGGTGTGCCCAGCCCGAGGCGTCACGTTGCTATCGTCAGCTAGCGACACTTGTAACAGGCGACAGTCGTTAATCAGCGACAAGCAGCAGCCTTTAACCCGCCAAAGTCGTAACCAGGCGAAAGCCGTTAACACGCGAGAAAATCCTTGCCACAAGAGAGTCGGTACAAGGCGACAGTCGGCCCGCGCGAAAGGCGGTACAAGGCGACAGTGGGGCGGAGGATGGTATTCCGGGATCTGAATCCCGTGCTGCACTACTCGTCGCTGCTGCGCCTCGCGCTGCCCTCCATTCTCCTCCAGAGCGGCGCGCCGCTCGCCATCACCTTCCAAACCGCGCTCCTCGGTCGCAAGTCCACGGAGATCGTCGCCGCATGGGCTATTGTCGCAAGTGAGTCGCAGAGAGTCGCATAGAGGAAGCAAGCGCCGGGGCCTGGTAGTAAGTTACCGTCAGACGGACGAATGTCGTGGAAAGTGGGAGGCCTAGACGGGACGCGGATGGGGCGGGGGCCGGGGGGGGGGGGGGTGGGGGGTGGGGGAAGGTGGGGGTGGGAAGGGGAAGGGGAAAGGAGGTGCGCGGTAGAAAAGGAGGGGCGTGGAGGCATATGATACGTGGGTTTCGTGTGCGTTTCGTTTTGCGCGTACCTATGCGAGTAATGAGCGTGCATTGATAAATGACTCCTAGGCGTTTCGTTTCGTTTCGTTTCGTTTCGTGTTGCGCGCTTGCCCATGTGCGTGAGGGGCTGCGCGTGACGCATCCGTACGCACGCGCCGCACTTGGAGGTGTCGGCTGCACCTCGCAGGCAGTTTCTTTGACTCGACTCTACTCAACGATCGACGCATCTGTGACTGAGCTTGGTTGGAGTTGACTGCACGTCGCAGATACGCTGGCTGTGCATCTCGAAGAAACGTTTTGCGTGCTTCGTAGACACTTCCCGACGCGATCTTCGCCGTCGTTTTGACGCGCCTAGTAGCTTGCAACAGCGGCCTGTGGGAAGGAAAGGCATGGCGCAATAGGATCGAACCTCGAGCCAACACGCGCTGGTTGAGGCGTCTAAGAACTTAAAGCCTTTATGAATTGGACCGGTTTACGAATCACGGAGGGAGCAACCTTTTCCGCTTTCACGTGGCCGGGGCGATAGCTTGGAATTGAATAGGCCTGTGAGGAAGAGGAGGGGGAGAGAGAAAGAGAGAGCGAGGATAAGAGAGGGAAATGGGGAATGGAGAGGATGGATTTACCCCACTCACTGACTTTCCCTTCTCTCTCCCCATCCCTCCTGTTTCTTCGTGACCTGTGCCTGCTCGTTTCTTCTGCTCAACTGCCACGTGTCTCCTCCTGACTTCCCGCTGCCACGTCATCGGCGACAGCTGCTACGAATGCCGCTACAGTCGTCTTCAACTTCCTCGTCGTCGGCGTCACTGCCAAGGTACTTCCCCTGCGCTTCCATTGTTTTCCTCCCCATCCCCGCGCCCTCCCTCCCTCGTCCCTTCCTTTTCCCCTCTGCTATCGGACTCTGTTTAATATGACGCATTGGCTGCAATCGGCTTGACGGATTCTGACTGAACTCGGCTTGACGGATTCTGGATCATTCCGCTTCCCTGTACACTCGCTCGCTTTCCTTTCTCCCTCCAATTCCTCCACCTTCCTCCCTCCTCCCCTCGTCCTCCCCCCTCCTTACTCTCTCCGCCCTTTCCGCCCTCCCCCTCCCTGCCCCCTCCCTCAACCACCCCGCAGGTGACTAAGGTGGTGTCGGTGGGGGCATGGGCGCAGGCGGGCGCTCGCATCCGCTTAGCCTTGGGGATGGCGCTGGTGATGGGGATGGTGGAGGTGGCGTTGCTGCTGGCGCTGCTTCTCCCGTCCCACCCTCCCTCCTCAACCCACTCCCCCCTCTCCCTCCCGTATCCCTCTTCACACACCCGCCCACACCCTTTCCTGTCCTTCTCCCTCTTTTTCCCCTTCCTCCCCCTCCCCCCCTTTCCCTCCGCAGGTGACTAAGGTGGTGGCGGTGGGGGCATGGGCGCAGGTGGGCGCGCGCATTCGCCTGGCCTTGGGGATGGCGCTGGTGATGGGGATGGTGGCGGTGGGGTTGCTGCTGGCGCTGCAGCAGCCGCTGTGGCTGCTGCTGGCTGATACTCCCAAGGTGCTGCCCTACGCGCGCAGCTACTTTTACTTGAGGGTCATTGGCGTGCCCCCCCAGCTGCTCGTCATGTGCACGTCCGGCATACTGCAAGGATACAAGGTACGGTCTAGTGCGGTTGAGAGCGGTTCTGATGGATGCTGCTGCTGGCGGAAATTCCCAAGGTGCAGCCCTACGCGCGCAGTTACTTTTACTCGAGGGTCATTGGCGTGCCGCCCCAGCTGCTCGTCATGTGCACCTCGGGCATTCTGCAAGGGTACAAGGTACGTTCAGTGCGGTTTAGTGCGGTTCTGGTGGGGGCTGCTGCTGGCGGATACTCCCAAGGTGCAACCCTACGCTACGTGTGGAGCTACTTCTACCTGAGGGTCATTGGCATGCCGCCCCAGCTGCTCATCATGTGCACTTCGGGGATACTGCAGGGGTACAAGGTACGGAACGGTTTGGAGGGGTGGAAGGTGTGGTTTAGAGCGGTTCTGGTGAGTGCTGCTGGCGCTGCAGCAACCTCTATGGCTGCTGCTGGCGGATACTCCCAAGGTGCTGCCCTACGTGCGCAGTTACTTTTACTTGAGGGTCATTGGCGTGCCGCCCCAGCTGCTCGTCATGTGCACGTCCGGCATACTGCAAGGGTACAAGATCTGGTACAGTTTAGAGCGGTGCAAGGGTACAAAATATGGTACAGTTTAGAGCGGTGCAAGGGTACAAGATATGGTACAGTTTAGAGCGGTGCAAGGGTACAAGATATGTTACAGTTTAGAGCGTGCAAGGGTACAAGATATGGTACAGTTTAGAGCGGTGCAAGGGTACAAGATATGGTAAAGTTTAGAGCGGTGCAAGGGTCAGCCCCATGATCTCCCCATCTCGTCTCTTGTCAGTGTCTCATAATCCCACATTGACTCTTTTATCTCTTTCCCACCCGCACACCCACATCTCGTCTTTCCCCTTCTCCCCCCCTCTTCCTCTTCATCCCCCTCCCCAGAAGGTGAACCTAGTGGCTAGACGTCTTCGCCTCCTACGTTGCCCTCTAAGTTCTCGACTGGGGGCTTGTCGCCATGGGTCTCGGCACCATCCTCACCTCGTTATCTCCTTGACTCACACCCCCTCTTCCCCACCGCTTCTCCTCCCTCCCCTTCGTCTCCTCCCCTCCCTGTCTCCGCCCCTTCCCTATTCCCGTTTGCCCCCTTCTCCCCCACCAGCGAGTGAACCTAGTGGCATGCCTGCAGGGCAGCAGAGTCTTACTGGACGTCTTCGCCTCCTATGTCGCCCTCTATGTGCTCGACTGGGGTCTCGTCGGCGTCGGCCTCGGCACCATCCTCGCCTCCTCCGCCGTCGCCGCCGCCGCTTTTGTCTGCATCCTGCTGCTGCCACCTGCCGAGGGGCGGCACAAGATCCACATCTTCACGCCGCTGCTGAGCTCTCTGGCCGGCCGGGCGGCAGGGGGGAAACGCGGAGGGGGGTGCTGGAGCCCCCGGGGGCATGGGACTGCTGCTGCTGGTGGTGCTCCTGGTGGTGGTGATGGGGTGGGAGAGGACGCACTGCATGTGCCTTTGTTGGATGGGCATGTGGGGGAGAGGGGGGCAGGAGGAGGAGGAGCAGGGGAGTTGACAGAGGAGGAGGAGAGGGTTAACGAGGTGTTGAATGAGAGCACGTGGAAGTTCATTTGGGATGGGCTCAGCACCATGCTGCGATCCGCGCTCGTGCAGGTAGAGTAAATGCGATACGGTGCAGTATGGTGTGGTGCAGTGTGATACAGCTGCTCCGTGTTCTCCTCTCATATTCTCCCCACACGCAAACCCCCTTGCAAACCCCCAGGCAGCATTCTTCCCTGGGAATGCGCGCAGTAGCAGCCCACCACACCAAGTCCCCACACATCTGTTGACAACCAACATCTACATCGCTCACACTGCGCCCCCTCCCCCCCCCCTTCTCCCCCCCTTCCTTTTCTCACGTTTGCCAGGCGTCCTTCTTCCGCGTCTTGGCCCTGGGAATGCACGCGGTAGCAGCCCACGAGGTCCTCATGCAGCTGCGGATGATCAACATTATGATCAACATTACATCGCTCATTGTGTTCCTCCCTCCCCCTTCCCCGTCCCTCCCCCACCCTCCTTCTGTCAACTTTCCCAGGCATCGTTCTTTCTGGTGCTGGCCTGTGCCACATCTCTCGGAATGCACGCAGTGGCAGCCCACCAGGTCCTCATGCAGCTGTGGATGATTAACATCTACATTGCAGACGGATTCGCCACCGCCGGCACCATCGTCGCCAGCAGCGTCGCGGGGCACTTAGCTAAGAGCCGCACGCCCGCAGAGCACGCGATCCACTTAAGGGACCTAAGAGAAGCCTGCTGGAGGGTGCTGAACATGGGCGCGGTGGCGGGCGTGGCGATAGCTCTGGTGTACCTGGGGTGGCGCGAGCAGCTCATGGCGCTCTTCACGTTTGACGAGGGCACGAAGCAGGAGCTCAGAGGCGCGTGGCTGTACCTGGCGCTTATTCAGCCGCTCAACTCCATTGTAAGACGCCTGGAATGCCCTTGGTGACGCCTACCCCCTGATGCCTCTCACTGGTGTGTGGGTTGGGGTAGTGAGAATGGGTTGGGGTAGTGAGAATGGGTTGGGAATGCTTACATGAGCTCATAGGCGCGTGGCTGTTCCTGGCGTGCGTTCAGCCACTCAACCCCATTTTCAGGCGCTTGGTCTGTTTTTGACTCCTTCATGCCTGCTCGCTTGGCTGTTCCTGGCTGTACCTGACTGTACCTGGCTGTACCTGGCTGTACCTGTCGGTACCTTCTCCCACATGGCCGCCTTGCTCACCATCGGCTTCGCCCCCTCTGCGTCCCCCCTCCCTCCTCGCCCTCTTTCCCCCCATCCCCTCCCTCCTTCCCCCCATTCCCCTTCCTTCTGCCCCCACCAACAGGTGTTTGTGTACGACGGGTTGATCTACGCAGCGCAGGCCTTTTCCTACATGGCAGCCTTCCTCACCATTGGCTTCTTTGCCCTCTTCCTCCCCTGCATCGGTGCGTTTCCTCCCCTTTGCCGTGCCCATCTGTGGGGTCATGCATTATTTGTTTCCTTCGTGCATCATGGGTTTGCCCGTCAGTGCTTTTCGCATCTGTGGATTCACGTTTGGAGATTCCCATGAGTTTGTCAGCTGGCCGCATGTTTGTGCAACTGATGGCTTGTCGTCAACGCGTCTCGGCACCCAACTCCCCACACCCCACGCCACACGCCCCACCCCCTGCTCCCTCCCCTCCCGTTGTCCTCTGCAACGATGAAACACTTTTTAGACAATGTTGGCAGCATGGGCCAAGGCCATCCATGGATCCTCACCACCCACTCTCCCCATCTCCCCCTTTTCCTATGCAGCGCTGGCGTACTTCTATTTCAAGACATTGGTGGCAGCGTGGGGCGCTAAGGGAGTGCTGAACGCAGTGCATTTCTTTGTGGCCGGCTACAAGATCCACTTTCACTTCCTCTGCCCCCCTCTTTCCATCCAGCGTTGGTGTGGGGAGCCAAGGTTTGTGCTTACTCACTCCCCTCCCCCTCCCCTCCCCCTCCTCGCCTGCCTCCGTCCCCTGATCCGCTGCAGCGTTGGCTCATTTCTATTTCAAGACGTTGGTAGCAGCATGGGGAGCCAAGGGAGTGCTGAACGCGGTGCGCTTCTTCGTGGCCGGTTACAAGATCCACTTCGACTTCCTCTGCCCAAAACCCAAGTTTCCCCCCACAAACCCCATCACCGCTCACAACTCCGCTTCCCCCGCCGCTACTCCTAGAGCCGCTCTGAACCATGCAACACCTCCTGCCTTATCGTCATGGGTCAATCCTCCCCTGGCTTCATCCTCCTCCTCCTCGTCCACTTCGTCTGTTAGTGGATTGAGATGGGCACTGCCAGGGTATATTGCTCCTCCACATGTGTCCGCCAGCCAATCAGTTCACAGTAGCCGAAGGGGAGGGTGTGAATGTGATTGTAACGGTGCGCGTGGCTGTATGCGAGGGTGCGGAAATGGGCTTCAGAGTGTGGTTGAGGAAGAGGATTCGTCTGCAGCAACGTGTGCGGCGGGGGATGTTTTGTTGCGGCCTTGTTCTGATAGAGAGCGGTTGCCACCTTTCCCGGTTCTTAAAACGAAACAGGAGGAGCTAGATGGTGCAAGGCATGCCAAGTTCTAACGAGCTATGGTGCTGGATTTTGTTGATGGCAGAGTTCGGGCTTGGTGAGTGTGGAATGTATTCGCTGGTGGTTTCAGTAGGTGTTTATTTCAGAGTCAGTACAATCAGCTGACCCTGGTAGCGCAACAAATGTTGGGTGGGGGGTTGGTATGATCAAATATGTATATAGTATAATCTGAACCATGCATACCTAGAAGGAAACATGTAATGGTACATGCAGGTCCATAGCTCCCACGCAGACTAATGTCTGGTACACCAGTAATTCATGAACCTTCCCTTATGACAACCTAGGACAAAATCATGGAGTGGTGTAAAACGTGGATAACGAGATACGCTATAAATCCCTCGATTTCTTCTTATCGATTTTGTGGGCTCCCTCCCAGCCCAGCCATCCGACACACACCCATCATGCTTCAGACAGGAGTTCCAGCATGCAAGGGCAGAACATCTCCCGCACGGGTGCGGCACACCACCACCGCTCAGCACTTGGCTGGTGGGTGTGCTCTACAGTGCGATCACCATAAGGGCGTGTGTGATTTTGCCCAACCTGACTGAAAGTTCGAACTTTTATAACGGTTCGTCACGGTAGGATACAACTAGAAGAGTTTTGCCACGGTGCAAAACGGTTTGAGTTCGAGCTTTGTCAGGTTCGGAAAAATTTCACACGCCCAGAAGGTTAGGGCGAGCAACACAACTGGGCAAGATATGGGTGCGAGGGCCAAACTCAACCGAGGTTGAACCAACATGGTTGGATGGAATTATCGGGGTGATAAGGCGTACAGCATGAGAAACACACCAATAAAGTCTCCAAGCCTCGATGGTTGTCCCGTCCAGGCTCAGGCATAAACACAATTATACACCTGTTCTCCGGTATTTCCACACCCCCTACCCTCGTTTTTGCCAGACACCCTATACGGCTTGAGGATCGATGAGACGGACACCCTGACACTACGGGTCTATCAGTAAAGAGCCGTCAGGTTCTGGCCATTCGAAACTCTAATTTGTAATCAGGGTGAGCGGGGAAAATTCCCAGTGCCATAATGTTAGAGTGTTAAACTCGCATTGAGGTCGTGTCTTATTACCTTCGAAACTCCCGCGTTCGTTTCTAACTACCTTTGAAATCAGATTTTTACGAGGGTAGGTACCCCAGGGCGTGAAGATAGGGGGTGTGGAAATACCGGAGAACAGGTGTAGTAGGTTTCTGTCGACGCACGGCACCAGCAAGCGACGCGACACCGCGATGCGGTGCGGAATCAGTCAGCTCAGCAGCAGATGAAGCGACGGATCCGACACGACGATAATTGTGGCTATGTATTTAAGCGGGTCCGCAGGAGCTCATGGTTGCAACAATCGGTTTTCCTTTTCTCCGCTGATATAGCTGCATCGCGAAAAAGGACTTGCCAGTAGGCTGCAGGAAAGTTGCAGAAAAGTAACTCGGCGGATACTTTGGTTTTGCAACTTCGCAGTGATGGACAACAGTTGCAGAAATGCGAGTCACTGGACAGTTGACAAAAAGTTGCAGGAAAGTTGCAAGAAAGGTGCATTCCAGCAACAGTTCCGCAATTTCGCGTACACTCGTCGGATACATTTCAATCACATGTATGCAGTTTCACGACCTGCCACGTGGCATGCGTACAGTTTGGAGTTCGAAGTGTACGTACGTCGGTACGTTCGCGAAGATATTTTGCCACGTAAGTGTTAACAGTACTAGGCAAGAATGATGCATTGAAAGAAACAGTTGGGTACAAGTAGCTAACCCTAGTTGGGTTTGTACCCTGTATTGGCTACCCCACTACAGCCTACCTACATATAAATAACACATTACAACTTAACACACCCCCATAGGCAAAGTGGGGGAGAGCAAAGGGTCACAAGACCAGTCCAGCAAAGCAAAAACAAGCCCAGGGTGGATCACAACGTCACCACACTCCGAGCACAAACAAAGGCCACAAGGCCAGTTCACATGTAGTGCTAGATATAGAACAGGACAAGCAGCAAGACAAATATAAAGTACAGTACAAAGAATGTCAAGCAGTGAGCAAGTGAGGAAACGTGGACACAAGGCCTAAAGAAGTACAGTGCCGCTGATGATCACTAGGCGGGAGCGCCTTGGTGAAGATATCAGCAGTGTTGGCCTTCGAGTCCACGTACGCAAGGCGAAGCTGACCGCGCTGCTGAAGCTCTCGAGCAAGAAAGTAGCGAAGAGCAATGTGCTTCGTCCTGTGCTCCAGTCTGTGCTCCTGACACAAGGCAAGAGCCGCCTTGTTGTCACCGTACAGAACTGGAGGAGAACTAGGCCGCTCTCCCAAGTCAGTCAGCAGGTAGGTGAGCCAGCGTAACTCCTGTGCAGCCATGGCTGTGGCGTAGATCTCAGCCTCACAACTAGAGCCGAGAACAGAAGAAGAGCGGGTGGACCGCCACGAGACAGAACCAGAGCCAAGGCTGAAGGTGTAACCCTGTGACGACCGCTGCGTAGCCAGGTCGTCCACCCAAGAAGCGTCCGAGTGACCAGTGAGGACAACTCTGTCGCGTCCTCCAAGCACCAGCCCCATGCCTGATGTACTGCACAAGTAACGCAGCACCCTCTTAGCAGCCTCCCAGTGCTCTCGCCTGTGTCTCCCAGGCGCAACGTAGCGAGCAAGGATGCTAAGTGGGTACGCGAGGTCAGGTCGCGTGCAAGTCATCAGGTACATGAGGCAGCCTACAAGCTCTGGGTACGGGCCACTCGGCTCTACGGACTCGTCCGAAGGTGGAGCTGAGAGCGAGTGGCTGGTAGCCAGAGGTGTGGCCTGTGGTGAGGAGAACTGGAAGCCGAAGCGCTGAAGGACCTGCTGCACCATGTGTGACTGAGTCAGGGTGATGGTGCGGCGAGCTCTGTCCCGGGTGATCTGCAAGCCAAGGTAGCTACGCAGTTCACCCAGGTCAGTGCAGGTGTGTCTCTTCTGCAGCTCCGACTTCACACGAGCGAGTGCCTCAGTGTCAGCAGTAGCAAAGACCAAGTCGTCGACGTACACGAGAATGTAGAACGGCGGCAGCGACGTGTCTGTGCGCAGAAACAGCGACGGGTCAGCAGTAGACGGCGCGAACCCAAGAGCCGCAAGTGTAGTCCTCAGTGTGTCGTGCCACTCACGTGGCGCCTGGCGGAGACCGTAGACTGGCCGGCGGAGGCTCCACTGGGTACCAGGAGGAAACGACCCAGTAAAGCCAGGTGGGCGGCGCAGCCAGATCTCCTCGTGCAGGCTGCCCTGCAGGAACGCTGTGCTGAAGTCAAGAGAGTGAAGCTCGTAGTCACGCTGAGCAGCAACGTGCAGCAGAACCCGAAGAGTGGTCATCTTCGGGGTGGGGGAGAAGGTCTGGAAGAAGTCGACCCCCTGACGCTGACTGAAGCCTCGAGCAACGTAACGAGCCTTGAAGACAGGCGGAGAACCTGGCGGCCGCTTCACCCTGAAAATCCACATGCCATCGACAATGTTCGCCCCAGGAGGGGGAACCTCGTCGACGTAGGTGCCTGTGGACTTCCAGGATGCCATCTCTGCGTCCATGGCTGTCTGCCACTGAGAGGAGTAGGGACCCGAGATCGCCTCTGCGTAAGTGCGCGGAGTGGGGATGTCTAGTGCATCCGGGTCTCCCTCAGGGGCAAGCAACCAGGCCACGAGATGAGGTACAGCAGCCGCGAGAGAGTCAAAGTCCTCCTGCCTGTCCTCAAGGACGTCCGTGCCAAGAGCACACTCACCCCCGACGGACGGAGGACAGACAGACTCAGACTCAGCAACAAGACTGGCGGCGTAGTCGAGGCGACAGGCAGCAGCAAAGTCGACAAGCTCAGCGACCAGGGCAGACGCAGCAGAAGACTCAAACGACGGGTCAGTGACAACAGTGGCGAGAAGACGCGTGACAGTAGGGTGGGCAGCACGAACACTGTCAGACTCAGGGTCGGGAACGTCAGGAAGAGAAGACGCAGGAGGAGACGGTAGGGGGACACGCTGTGGACCAGTGGAAGGACGAAGTGCCATAATGTGCGTGCCAGGAACAGGAGGAGGACGCGGACGCGCGACACGACGGCCAGTGGGACCAGTGCGAGCAGTGCGAGCAGCGCGAACCGGCGAGGCAGGACGAGACGCAGGCTCACGACGCTCCGTAAGCGAGTCCGGCTGCGCCTTATAAGGCACAGGAGCAGGGAGGGGGGAGCCAGGCTGAAGGGGAAGGCCAGTGGAAGACGGGAGGGAAAGAACCTGGCGAAGCACCGTGTCAGGCGGCGGCAAAGCCGACGGCGACGGAGGAGCGAAGAACAGGCGCGACGGCGGAGCTCCGCCAGCACCTCCAGCACCCGGAGCACCAGAAGCACCTGGACCAGCACCCTCCGCCGCAGCACCCCCCGAGTCGGCGACGTCAGCACCAGAGGCCCCAGCAGCGTCAGACCTCCCCTCGCCAGCACCTCCAGAACCAGCAGGACCACCGTGTCCAGAACCGTCAGCTCCAGCGTCGTCAGCTCCAGCACCGCCATGAAGAGCACCCCCAGACGCAGCAACCCCAGGCTCCGTAGGCTCAGTAGCAGCACCCCCAGGCTCAGTACCCTCAGGCGCAGTACCCCCAGGCTCGGCACCCCCAGACTCCGTACACGCAGGCTCAGCACCCCCAGTCGTAGCACCCCCAGGCTCAGCACCCCCAAGCTCCGCCGAACTCCCAGGCACAGTACCCTCAGCTCCAGCACCCGCAGTCCCAGCACTCCCAGGCCCAGCACCCGCAGGCTCAGCACCCCCAGGCTCAGCACTCCCAGCAGCACCACCTGCAGCAGCACCTGAGTCACCTGTGACCTCGACAGGCTCAGCGACGGGAGGAGGGTCTACCTGAGAGACACCTGAAGGAGCAGGACCCTGAGGGGGAAGGGGGTCTACCGGAGGGGGACCAGGAGCAAGGAAAAGCGGCGGGGGAGGGAGGGGGGCAGTGCGGTAGGGGAAGAGACGGTAAAAAGGGACCGACTCGTCAAAGGTGACGTCCTG